GGGGGCGGGGAAGGGTCGGGACCGCGAGTGAGGGGGACCGTGGGGGTAGAGCGCGAAGAGAGCCTGGGGAGTGGTCGGGGACCCGGAGGCAGGGGCAGCGGGGCTCGGAGAGCGGTTGTGGGGTGTCGGAGGGCGTGGGAAAAGGACGGTGGGTCCGGGCGGGGGGCTGTGCTGGAGCTCGGCCAGGGGGCAGCGGGACCGTGGGGCCGGGGGGGGGGGAACCGGGGGGGGGGGAGGGGTGGGGGTGGGGCCCCGAAGGAGGCCGGGCCTGAGCTGCGGGGCCCGGCGTCAGCAGCCTCCCCCCCACCTAAGGTCACCGCAGTAAACAAAGGCCATGCTCTCTGTACTCCTCCGAGCTCCGGTCCTGTCCCCCACCCCTGCAGAGCCATCCTGGGTCTTTGGATGTGTGGGGGAGAAATGTCAGAACAATCGGAAGGGTAGCGTGGAGGTGGGGAGTGTCCCGACCCCATAATGGGGAGGTGACGAGCCGGTGTCTCTGGTGAACTGACCTACCGGAGGGATCGTCTGTGCTCTCACGGCTGCCACCTTACTCCAGCTCAGGGCTGAGGAGGTCTGAGCTAGGTCAGTTCCTGGGCCTTGGGTTGGTGGGGGGTCTGCAGTGTAGGGTGAGCATCTTAAGTTGACTGCTGGACTCCTGGACATCAACAGGAATGAAATTTTGACCGATGCGGGCACAGTCGTGTGAAGAGGTTGGCAGAAGAGAGGGGAGGAAGTGACCTGGAAGTTCTCATGACTTGACTCTCAGAATTCTCAAGGCAGACTTGAGACTCTTACCCCAAGGATTAGACTATCCGGGTTTACGTCAGACTTGACAGTGAAGAATATGCACATACATACATGTAATTACGGGTTTGCTTAAACCCTCTTGTTGGGCATTTTAAAATGAACTTTCCCGGCTGCGTTTCTTAGTGCGATTGTAGATCATTGCAGAGCCCCTGAACTTGAGGTCTGCCAGCCTTCTGGTGATGAGCATCTGGGTTGTTGCCTGTGAGAGGCACTCTGAAGTAGCCCAACTTCTGCATTCGTTTGGCTGTTGTACCTGTAATGGAGTCAGGCAGAAGCAGAGCTTTGGGCCTTGCCTCTCAGGCTACCCAAGTTCAAGAACTTCCTACTCTGACTCCTAGGACCTTGACAGCTGGCACTGTGGGATGAACAACTGACCCATATAGGATATAGATAGTTCTTAGTTCTTATTTATGGTGCCTGGTTATCATACATGATAACCTTGCTATGTGCCACATCAATACTGTACATCAGTAAGAAGTACCTGTACTTCTTACCATTGTGGCCTGATTGGTAAAACATGCTTTAGAGATACTTGGGGTTTGCATACTTAAATATTTATAACCAAGTAGTCCGCCAGATGCCTTCTCGGCAGTGTTTGGGGGTCAGAGTGCTGGGTAAATGGAGATGTTTGGCTTATTTATAGAACAATAGATTTTGGCAGAAGTTTAACCTCAGGATATAGGAGCTACACTGAAGCCAATCCATTAGCCACACTTTCGTGGGCATCAGAAAATAGGTATTTTGAAACTTTTTGTTCCCTGAGATTTTGCCGAGCAGTTTTGTACTTTCTGAAGATTGATGCTAACAACCAAATTGTGATGTGGTGTCACGTGCCATTTAGAGATGTAAACTCTTCTCTGAGAGTGTTTAGGCTCTGTCTGGGGGTGTGGCTTACTCATCACAGCCCGTCAGCGCTGCTACACCCCACCCCCCACCCCAGTTCCTGCAACCTCTTTCCATCCATAGGGAAAGGGAAGGGTTGAGAGACTGTCTTGAACCAGCACACATACACACACATCCTGCCCAGGGTCTTCCACAGGTGTGTGGGTGGTGGGACTTATACATCTGACTAGCTCAGACAGAGGACTGGGCACACAGCATTGGATCACGTGATCTAACCTTTTCCAGGGAATTCTATTTTGATTACTCCTCTGGTGTGTTCTAAAATAGATCACTGGGATTCTAGGGTTAGTGTCCCTGGCTTACCTGTCTATCATAGTTTGTGGGTTTTTTTATTGCTGTTGTTTGCTTTAAGACAGGGTCTCACCATGTAGTCCTAGCCAGAGATTTGCCTGCCTCTGCCTCCCAAGTGCTGTGTGGCCATGCTAGCTCCAGAGTGTGCCTCTTGTGTGGGATTAAATACTGCCAGGTCTTGACTCTCAGCCCTCATTACTGTCTTTCAATCTACACTCTTAGGGAACTGAAACATGAAATGAGTGCTTTGGAATAAGATAGACTGCTGGAAAGTCAGGTCTGAAGACCATGGGGTGGATTGACTCATCCACACCATACTTTTCTGTCATTGGTTTGAGAAACCAGCAGAGCGTGAGTGGAGTGAGGTCTGCAAGTGTAGTTGTCACACTGTGGCATTCCTCCAGTGGGCTCTCCTGTCTTCCTGAGACTTTTGTGCTTTAAAATACGTAAAACTGTTTATGGTCATAAGTCATTAAGCCTGTTCTTGTGCCTTCCCTGGTGGCCTGCTGTGCCAGCAGGTAGAAGGGGGAAGTCTGCAGTGGCAGTAGTGCCCTGTAGGTTATTGTTCACATCTTCTCCAACACCAACTCTTCAGAGAGAAGCAGCATCATGAGTCTGTTTGATTGCCCAGGTTTGAGAAGGTTCAGTCTCAGTCTTCCTCTGTGTAAGCCAGCCAGATAGGGAATGTGCCAGGATGGACATGCTGGCTTTAGCAGCCTCTCTGCCCTGTCTCCTCCCTGGCATGTGTTGCTCTGGAGCTGGTATTTTTGAAGCATTGGAAACCAGTAGAAAGCCCTTTAGCTCTTGCTGGGACTATGCCATTTGATAACTTTAATTTCATTTTTAACTTTACATAGATGACTGTTTTGTTTGCATAGATGACTGTTTTGTTTACATAGATGACTGTGTGTATGCAGTGCCCTTGGAGGCCAGAAGAGGGCGTCATGTCCCCTAGGACTGGAGTTACAGACTGTTTCATGAAGCCAGTGCTCTTAACTGCTGAGCCATCTCATCTCTCCAGCCCTTACTTGATAACATTTTTAAGCAGAGCCCATGCTCTGGTGTTGACTTTGCTCTCAGCCCCTAAGGCAACCCTAGAGTGTCTCAGAGTGGGCTAGGCTGGGGTCCAGGTTGTCCCGTGGATGTATATAGTGAGCCAGCGTCTGTTCAGTTGGACAGTCCAGGCCCAGCCTACAAAGTGCCAGGTGCAGGAGCGGTAGGGCGAGCATAAGCTACTGGCGTGGCCCCTGCTTTTCACCCTTACTTCTCTTCTGAAAGCAAGGAGTAAAATCTGAGGATGTGATCTGTACAATGGAGGGTTCTTGCCCCTGTATAAATTTGCTTCTCACACCTCATTCTAGTTTCTCTGTGCCTCAGCTGCCCACCTTCCGATGGACAGGGCCGTCAGAGTTTATGATGCATGTAAGCATCTCTTGGAGGTTAAAACTGGGTTGTGTTTTCATCTTATTTTCACCTTACAACCCGAACAAGGGTGGGCCATGAGAGAGTGGTACTTCCCAGAAAAGATGCCTTTAAAAGAAATTGTGTATGTATGCCATGTGGTTACATGTGTACGTAGGAACACACATCCATGTGGCAGCCAGAAGATAACATCAGTGTCTTTGGTCCCTTTTCACTTTATATACTGAGGCAAGCTCTCTTACTTGAAACCAGAACTATACAGTTTGGCTAACCTAGTTAACAAAACTTGCTCCAGAAACCCAGTCTGTGCTTCCAGGATAGGGATAACAAATGGGATGTCATACCTACCTAGCATTTACATAGATGCTGGGGGTCCAAACTCGGGCCCTCATGCTTGGGTAGTAAGTATGTTATCTATTGAGCCAGACATCAAGGAATTAAAATTATCCATGTTGGAGGAAAGTCAAGGCTGAAGTCCTTGTGCTACCCCCAAAAGAACTTGATGTTCAGGAAGATTGCATATAGTTCTGACGGCTTATGTATATACCTTCCAGGACAGATAGGAACTGAGACAGTGATGGTGGAACCATGCCTTGACCAGGTCTGCTTAATTATTCCTACGTTAGCCCCATGTTTGAAGTCCCAGGAGGGTCCAACCTGGGCTTAGCATGCATATTAGTATAGCAGCCCAGCATGTTTGCAGATGTCATATGATCAAAAACGAGGACACCCTTGACCTTCAAGTCAGTACCTGAGTGACAGCCTGGCGGGCGTTACTGGGTCCCTTTTGTTCTCCCTAATGTGATCACATTGAGTAAATTCCCTTTTCTGTGCTTTAACTGTTGGTTTTAACAGATGTGTTGGAAGTGGGTGACTGAACCTAGATATTTGAGGGTTCTATGATCTAGGATTAGTCCCTAAAAGTTGTGGTAGCATCATTGTAACTTTGAGAGTGCCCATCCTGCAGTGCCGTTGGGCCATGGCTTGCTCTGCCTTGGACTGGTGGTGTTCTGATGGATGGCAGTGATACCGCATGCCACTCTGCCGGCACTGCCCTGTGAGGTGACCTTTGCCTTGCTGTTGGAAGGTGGCTCCCCACTTCGCTGTTAACAAGATTGGGGTTTGGGTTATTTTGTTTTTCTCTTTCTCTTTTTCTTAAGAGAGGGCTTCACGGGGTTTCCTCGACTGTCCTGGAACTCGGATTGTAGACTAGGCTGCCTCAAACTCACATAAAGGCCTGCTTCTGCCTCCCAAGGGCTGGGATTAAAGCTGTCCACCACCATTACCATCCAACTGTATGTTTTGTTTTGTTTGTTTTTAAGATGTATTTTTATATTATATGTTTTGCCTGCTTATATGTCTGCCCCACATGTATGCAGTTCCTAAGAAGACCAGAAGAGAAGACCTAGAGTTGCAGGACAGTTGATAGCTGCTGTGTGGAAACTGGGAAATGAACCCAGATCCTGCTCTTAACTGTTGTGCCATATCTCCAGTCCAGAAATCTCAGAGTGACCAGCATCTGGGCTTGTCATTCAGAATTCCTTTCCTGTCCCTAGACAGAGTGATGTTCTGTTAGGTTTGTGTGATTCTTCAACCTTTATGGACTGTTCAACCTGAGGGACATAACTTTGTTTTTCTTTTTTAAATTATTTTTGTGTCGTGTCCCCTGGAACTAGAGTTACTGATGGCTGTGAGCCATCACCTAATGTTACTGTACATCTAAACACAGTCCAGCCTCTGCCTAGCAGGGGATCCCTATCTTCAGCCTTCCAGCATTGTTTAACTGCATATAGATATTGCCGCTGTTAGGTAGTACAAGCAACAAATGTTTCAGTGGGGTTGATTTTTGGCTTTTAATTTTTTTTATTAGATTTGTGTGTGAATGTGGGGCATGTAGAAGTCAGGAAGGCAGCCTGTGGAGTTTATCTCGTTTTACCATGTTGATTGTAGGAGCTGAAATCACTTTGTCAATCATGTCAGCAAGCACCCTTAAAGCTACTGAACTGTCTCGCTGGCCCCTGGATAAATGTTTTTACCTGTTTTGTGTCTGAACCCCTGATGACAGTGGCATCTTTTAGGTACTAGTGTCCTTCCTGGTGGCATTTGTCAGACTTCTGTATAGTAGAGAACCAAGTAGTATAAATTCCAATCTTTGTAGTAATATTAAATCACTACCAGAGCTCCTAGGTCCTTTCTTCCTGTGTAAAGTCTGGACTAGATGAACATGCTAGTGGGGCTCAGGAGATGTAGTCTGCTGGGATGGTGGGCCAGAGCTACAGGATTCAAACCAGGGAGTCTGCATTGGCACCCGTAAGATAGACAGAAGCTGGAGCTGCTTAGTCCTTCCACCCAGGTGAGGAAGGCCATGGAGGAGGTCTTGTGCTGTCCTCATATGTTTGCGTGTCCTCTGTCCAGCTGCTCCTCTCCTGCTAATTAATTACCAGACTCAATGCAACCTTCTTTATAGGTTCTACAGACTCTTGTCTTGACACAGTACATAGCATTGGCTCCTTGAGAGGGTGTAATTCACAGTTGTCAGTGGTCATTTGTTCCCAAGACCGAGAGTACTCCAGGGGTGATTGTCAAGACACAAACTATAGTAGCCACAGAAGAGGAAAGCTAGAGGCACTTTCCACCTTCCTGAGGGTCCCGATTTAGCCCCAGGATGGCTTGTCCCTGTGCAGGGTGGTGTGCTGTCCCCAAAGACTACTGCTTTGGGGTGCAGGGAGTCACTGACGTAAGTGGTGGAATGAATCACCATTCCTCCTGGCTGGCAAGTTCAGCTCAAAGTCCAGGTCCTTAAAAGAACTCAGAGGTCATTTTTCATCTGTAGGTACATTCTAGATGAAGTCACTTTTTGTGTAAATGGATAGGCTGCCCCTGCTGCAGGCAAGAAGAGTAAGATATGTTGCTTATTACTAGTGTTCCAAAGAGTTTTTGTGGGATAAGTAGTGAAGTTCTTAAGCCTAGAATGGTTACTGGCAACTACTAGGATCCAGTTACTCATAGAGATTTGCAGCGTTGGAAATTAGCTTTGGGCCCACATGTTCTGGGAGCAGCTGTCTCTGACAGACAAAAATGACTTGTGTCTGGGTCTTTAGTAGCACTAGACACAGTTGTTAACATTGTCCCTATGCTTATAGGCCTTGTTCCACCTTCTCTCTGAATGACTCATTAACCATTTGTTTCCTCAGCTCCCTGTGAAACTCTTACTGACCCCTCCCATCTCAGTTGACAAGAGAAATTGAGTCACCAAGAAAAGTAGCTAGGCTGTTCAGTCTACAACTTGTCTACCCAGCACAGACCCCGGTCATGTATGGTTGATTCTGGCTGGCTCTGTGGAAGGCCATGTTATCTTTTTCAAATAACCACATTCCTGGAAGTGTATTCTATTCAGAAGCAACCTGTCAGGCCGGAGAGCCTGTGTGGTGCAGTAGGCTGGATGTTCCATGTGGAAGCAGGAAAATCCCGGCAGCTGGGGGCAGGGAGCCTGAAGGAAGGTGGTGGAGTGAAGCAACCGAGAGGGGCACAGGAAACTGTCTTTGCCTTTGCCTTCGAGCTACTGGGCTCTAGTCATCACAGTGTCTGTCACAAACGGACAAAAGCTGCGTGCCCTATTTGTACTGCAAAGCAGAACTGGCCAGTTTTAGTCTCTTAGCCCTAAGAGTGGCACATGCCTTTAATCCCAGCAGTTGAGAGACACAGATAGGCAGATCTCAGTTCAAGGCCAGTCTGGTCTACAAACAAAGCTGGGGGCACCTGGGAGCATATCCCTCGGTTTAGTTGAGCCCTTTGCTGGCCTTGGATAGTTTTGTTAGAGATGACTCTTGCAGCCGTGAGGGGACTGGTGAGAAACTGTTGGAATGTGTGGGTGTATGTCAAGCCTGTCTGGCCTCAGGCTGCAGGATGAATAGAGTAAAAGCCATATGCTTTTCTTGGGAGACTCGAGCACACTCCAGAGGGCTATCAGAGCAGCACAGAAACGTCCTGTTACTCTGCTTTGAGCTGCCTGAGTGGGCAGAAGACTGGGGCCTCCAACTCTGGTGACCGACTTACGGTGCAGTGGGAACAGGTAGGATACCAGACAGAGTTCCCTGTGCAGTACAGTCTCTAATAGGAAGTGAAGAGCGTCTGTCATTTGTCCATCTCTGGAAACTTAGTTCAGTTAAGAGCTAGGGTGTGGATCCGTGGCAGGTTTTGGCCTAGCCATGTTCAAGGGTGCTGGATTCCATCCCCAGCACTGTTCCTGCCTCAGAAAGATGTAGAGGATAGAAAATCCTTGTCCTTTCTGTAGTAAGCTTTGGATTATCTGGTAATGAATGTAATTTTCTCTTTGCCCAGGTACGGATATTGCTGCAGGAGAAGAAGTTGCCATCAAGCTTGAATGTGTCAAAACCAAACATCCTCAGCTCCACATTGAGAGCAAGATCTACAAAATGATGCAGGGAGGAGGTAAGGTTCATTGGGGTCAAATTTCTGCCTATAGCCTGGCTTACAGGTACCTTACCCAAGAAGAAGAAGCATGGTCATATGTATTTTGCTTAAGAACTACTTTTCTTAGCTTCCCATTCGATGGTAATGTCTTTGAAATCTGGGTTTTGTGAAGGGTTCGAAATAAACATTTTCTTTCTCGTGCCCCCAGTGGTGCTGCTGTCACACCACAGTGCTTCCTGCTGGTTGGCCCTTCTGGGCCATATGCTCTCCGTAGAACTTGACGGTAGTTCCATCAAACTCTGACGCTCACTTTCTCTTGGATAGGAGTTTTGAACATGACTTCTCTGACTCTCCTAGCTCAGCCACTCACTGTTCTCGGTTCTGTAAAACATTGGAGTACTGAAGCCAGTGATAGGCCAGTCTCGCTTCTAGAATTCTGGGAACTTGGAAATAGTTTGACTGATGGAGCAGGTGTTCTTATTCAAGGCTTTGGAGACACAGCAGCGTTGTGAGGGCTCCTTCCTAGATGATAGAGCTGACTCACTTGTGGGGTCAGGGTCGGGGTTCTTCTGAAGAATAGGAGCCTGCTTGTGGCCATACCTCATGATCTCTTTAGTAGAAGCCTACATGTTGCCATGGTAGTTAGAGCAGGGAGGAGAGACAGGCCCTTCCACGCCCCCAGCCAGCCCCCAGCCAGCCCCCATGACGGAACTTTTATGGCCCCTTGTCAACAGGAAAAGGGAAACTGTCTCATAATGCTTTGTCTGGACACTAAATTTTTTTCTTTTGCTTTTTCTTTCAGATATTTTGCATATGTGTTATGGTTTCTAATGTTAAAACATTTTTATAGGATTTCTATTTGTGTCTGCATCTGTATGTGTTTCAGGTGCTCTTTCTTTGACTCTTCTATTTGTTTCATCCTATCCAATTTTGTTGGTTTTATTTATATTTTGTTGTCTCAGGTCAGCAGAGACCCAATCCCGCACACCTGCCCTTTGGCATCCTCAGTAGACGGCCTTCTTGGGAGCATCAGGGACAAGTAGAGAGTAGAACAAAGTGATGTGGGTTTGGTTTTTTTCTAGGAGTTTCAACATTTGAGATTAATATATTAAGGGTTGTAGTTCTGAGACTGTGTTAGCCTAGAGTGCCTAAGTGGAAAGGCAGCCAGATAGTGATGAGAAATGAGTATCGTGTACCTCAAACTGCCCTGTGCTGTGGAGCACCCTAGATACCAGGTACCTGCTGGTAGAGAGCATTGCTTCCTGTGCTGGGCCCTCGGTCATCATTTGCCCACAGCCCTTCTCCAGACTCACAGACCCAGACAAGATTCAGAAATGGGTATTAACCTCTCTTGGTGTTTGAAGGCTGTTCCTCAGGTTTTGGTAAGGTTTTACTCTTGTTGACTACTGGGTGCCCTACAGGTCTTTTTTTTAGGAAGCGTAATGTGTCCAGGCAAAGACTGCACAGTTTTGGCAGTGTTTGCTATCTGAGACTAAATGGAGGTTGGCAGATGCAGGATGGGAGATATACTTTGCTCAGAAGCCACAGGGTCTTGCTCTCTGGAGAAACCTTGTCATGTCATGTTCTCTGTATGTAGATGAATATGGATTGCTTTGCTACTTTCTGAAAGGAACAAGCACCTCTTTCATTGTCCTGATCTTGTTTATGTTGGCTCTGGCTGTGCCAAAAAGAAAGCATAGAGTCAAGTGGCTGGCAGCACCGTGAAGTTCATCTGAAAGACTTGCAGGTGTTAGTGTTACCTGGTGCCTGGTTACGAGCTCTGTGCTGAGGGAAAAGCAGCTTTGGGGTTCTGAGCAGTAGAGCTGCGGGTGAGAAACCGCCAGGAGGCTTCCCATAGGGTACAGACTGGAACCCGAGCTCTCAGCCCAGGACGTGCTCTCTTCGGGCTTTCTTGGAACACCAGCCCACACATAACTACACAGAGACTTCTTATTAATTATAAAAGCTTGGCCATTAGCTCTTATAATTCAAATTACCCTGTTACTATTAATCCATGTTCTGCCACATGGCTCAGTTACCTCTGCTCTGTACTGTATAGCTGACTTCTTCAGAGTCCCCCAGCAGTCTTCTGGCCTAATCTGGGCACGCCTCTTTCTCTTCCTCTCTTCCACCAGAAATCCCGCGTATCTATTCTACCTACTCTTTATTAAGCCAATCACAGTGACACATCTTCATACGCTGTAAACAAATATCCCGCAACAGTGTGTCCTGAGCACTTCCACCAGCCCAAAATCTGGTCAGCACAGTAGGTTAAAGGTGAAATACTAGAAATTAACTAGAATTCGGTCTTGAGTAGTGACTTTCGACAACAGCTGGTGCTGCCAGATAAGACCTGGTAGCTTTTTTAACTGTTTATTGCATTCCTGATATATCCCAAAGTAGATTCAGACCGCACCTTCCTTCAGTAGCTCCTCAGCAGAAAGCATTAATGCATTTACAGATGCTTCTGGTACATGTTACCAGGACGCTTTGTGGGATGGGAGAATGGCTCTTTGTGATAGAATCTGGGTAGGAAAATACACACCACTGTAATTTTTCCCATTTATTTGTTTGTTTGTTTGTTTATTTATTTTTAAGAAAATGGCCCTCAAAGTGTGTGGCCTGGTAGAGGAAGCCTGTCGCTGTGGCTTTGAGGACTCTTTCTGCTCACGCTTCCCTCAGTGTGACAGTTGGTCGACTACCTGATGCCTACGAGATGTCAGATGTAAAGAGTTGCTGTGATCATTATATCTCTTCACAGCAATAAAAAACAAGACAATCTATCTGTGTTGCCCTAACTGGACTGGAACTCACTTTGCAGACCAGGCTGGTGAACTTCCTCTGCCTCCCAAGTGCTCAGATAAACCAGCATGTCTGGCAGTATTTGTATCTTCTGTCTTTGGCTTTTTGTCAAGATCTCAAATTCACAATCTTGCAGCTCTCCTCCCGAGTGTTAGAGCTAATGTTGTGGACCACCATACCTGGCGCATAGTCATGAGCTGTTGAACATGGCTAGAGAGCATGCAGCGTGTAATGGAGTAACAGTGCCTGTGAGCCCTCACTCCCCTGTGCAGTCAGTCACATGCCTGCCTCGTCTCTCTAGTCTATCTCCACTGACCTTTGCGTCTTCATTCTGTTTGCCATGATTTGGGGCGTGTTGGGGTTGTTTTGGAGTGCTAGGATGAAGCTGGGACTTTGTCTGTGCTAGATAAGCACCATACCACTGAACTACAGCCCCAGCCCTGCTGTTTCTCTTTCTTGTCCTCCCGTGAGAAATTTGGTTTTCAAAATCTAAATAACATCATTTAGAAATATTTGGCAGGTTTAATCATTCTTAACTGAATTACTGAAAATATAATGAATTCTTCTGTTTGAATTAATTCTGAGTGCCCAGATTTACATTGAAATACTTGTTGAATCACAGTGGAAAGCAGTTGTGAATACCTGTGTTTTCTAGTGTCTGGCCCCAGTTACTTATTTTGGCACTTAGACCCCCGTAAGGGTAAGGCATCCATGCTCTCAACTGTGAACAAGGTTGAGGTAGCTCATCCCCAAGGCATGGCACAGACAGCACTCGGGTTTTTTCTTTAAACCACTAGCATCATTTGTTCCTGGCAAAACAAACAAACAAAAGATTAGTAGCACACTTTCCAGGCCTTGGCTTCTGGGTTTTGCTAGTATGAATGTCTGGCTTCAGAGTACTCTTCATCATACTTTATCAGGAACCTTCTCCTAATCAGTTTTTAATCACTTGCTTCCTAGGCTTCACCACTAGTTAGTTTCTGGCAGTTTGCTGAGGGTAAAGTGTACCACAAAAGACATTCTTCATCTTTTCTAGCCAGGGATCTGTGAGCTCAGGAATCCTTTGCAGTGACTTTTATCCCATCTCTGATGCCATGGATTAACAAATAGCACTATTATTCCCCATTGAAAAGGAAGATGCTGCCCCCGGCCACCCCCCCCCCGCTGTTAAGCACATCAAGAAGCCATGGCATACATCCCTCCTAAATAGCAGTTTGCTGTTACGTAATGCGTTCATACTATCTGCATCTTGCAGCCTATTTACTATATATTCCTAGAACTTGTTTGCATATGATAGACTCTCCTGGGATAAACATAGAAGAAATTGAAGAGTTTTGTTAGCTTAAGATCAGAATATCAACAGTTAGGCTAGGGAGATGGCATTTGGGAGGCAGAGGCAGTTGGATCTCAAACTTCGAGGTCAGCCTGGTCTGCAGAGTGAATTCCAGGATAGCCAGGGCTACACAGAGAAACCCTGTCTTGAAACACCCCCTTCCCCAAATGCCATTTATGGTAACGTACACCTTAAATATTGTCACAGTGTAATTTTTGAAACTTTTTTTATTTTTAATATTAAATGAAATTTCACTCAAAACATAACAATCTCCTTTTCTTTTTTGAGGCAGGGTCTGTCTATGTAGCTCTGGTTGTCTTTGAACTCGGAAATCTACCTGCCTCTCTTCTGACAGCTGGAATTAAAAGTGTGTACCACTATTCTCATCTTTTTTATTCTTAATCCTTATGTATGGATATTTGCCTCTGTGTGTGTGTGTGTGTTTGTGTGCGCGCGCGTGTGCACGCACATACATGCATGCATCACATTTGTTCCTATGGCCTGCAGAAGTCAGAAGAGGATCCCTGGAGCTGCAGTTATTTATACATGGTTGTGAACCACTCTGTGACTGTTGGGAATCAAACCTGGATCTCCTACAGAAGCAGCCAAGTGCTCTTATCTGCTGAGCCATCTCTCCAGCTTCCTCCGTACCACCACTGGCAGCTTTTTCCAACTTTATTTTCATATATTTTGCTCGTTTTGTTTGCCTTTCTTGATCTCCTCCCAGATCTTTCTCGCCTCCGTACCAACACAATTTCATATTCTTTTTCTCTGTCTCTCAAAGAACAAAAGGTTAATTTTAAGAGAGAGAGAGAGACAAAAAGCACACGGGGAAAAGTGTTGTGTGTTGACCGGTTAGGCTGCGTGGCCCTTGAGCAGTGTGGCTGATGTACCAGTGACACTACGTAGGAGAGAACCAGCTTTGCCTTTCCCAGCAGGTATTAATGGCAAATATCTTCTTGGATAGGGATGGGAATTTGTGTCAGCTTTCCTTCTCATTGCTGGGATTTCATAGGATTTGAACCTGTTTAGGTCTTGTCCAAAGGCTTAGAGAAAGGATGACTAGAATTCAGAGAGGAGAAGGAAGGGCCAAGATTAACGACAGTGCTCTTGAGGAAGAGGGGCAGTTGCCTGGGAATGTCACTACTTGCCCTGGAGCTGTGGCGGTTAAAGCTGTGGTTCTGACACAGACAGGGCTGGTCTCAAGCTTTCTCAGTGGTCTTCCCAGTGAGGAGGCCCAGACTACTGGCAATGGCCATTTCCAGGACTTGGGCAAGAACGTGGAGCCTGTGGAACAAAAGAAAATACCCTTTGTCCTTCAATGACAAGACCTTGTTGATTGTTGGAAGATATCTGTTCGAACTGGTATTTCAAGACTGAACCATAGGGTGGAGTCAGGGATTGGCTGATTGGAATTAGCCAATGTTGACGGACCAAGGAAGTGGATAGAGAGGTCAGGGAGGGGGCGGTTGGAGAGGTTTCCAGGGCTCTTTCTGATCTGGGAGTGTGGAGAGGCAGGGTCATCTGCTCTTTCCTCCATTGCTGTTTGGGTCCATCAGGTTTTTACCCCAGTATCTGACTCCCAGTTTTATTTAGTGATAGGACAATATAAGTAATGGCTTCGTCTGGAGCCTAATGGTGAATGCCACATGTAATCAGACTTTTTTGGCTGCCAACCCCAAATAATAACAGAGACTTACTTATTATGAAAGTTTACCTTAGCTTAGACTTGTCCCACTAGTTCTAATAACTTAAGTAAACCTATTTTTATTAATCTACGTTCTGCCATGTAGCTGTACTGTATGTCTGACTTCTTAAGTGTCTTACTGGCATCTCTAGTGCCCCAGATTCATCCCAAGTTCCCCTCTCCTGCCTATTCTCTCCTGCCTATCTTTTAGCCATTTAGCTCTTTATCAAACCAGTTGCAGTGGCACATCTTCACACAGTGTAAACAAATATTCTGCAACAGTTGAGTCCACTGCTCCTGAATATAGCCGTGTTTCTCTCCAAAGAATATTGCAGCTAAGAAGTGCTGCTGATTGCTTTGTGTAGATATGGATCTCACTTGGTCATATCTTTGTGTAGATATGGATCTCACTCTTCAGGAAGGAGCTTTTATACAGGACTACTGGGGATGGAACATCATTTGTGTGGGCAGTTTGTTGTGCACTAATGTAGCTGTCTTCGTGATTCTTACACCTGACTTCTTTGAACTGGGTCTGGATTTGTTTTCAGATGTCTGACCACTTTAGCTGGGCCTGCTGCACAGTCTATACTAAGGCTCCTCTTTAGTTCTGCTCTTCTTCCGTAGTTTCTACTTCGTGGTTTTTCAATCTTAGACATTATAGTTTTCAACCTTTAGTATTAGGGGGTGTGTGCTGTGTGTGCATGCATCTTTAACTTTCTTAACATGGAATTCATTTACATTTATTGCATTTTTTTTTAACAGAGACTGTTTGTTCATTTCCTGGCTATCCATACAGAAATCACACAGAAACTTTATTACGACACTGCTTAGCCAATAGCTTAGGCTTCTTATTAACTAACTCTTACATCTTAAATTAACCCATTTCTGTTAATGTATATATATCACCACAAGGCTGTGGCCTACCAGCAGTGTCTTTCTCCTTTGGCAGCTACATGCTGTCTCCTTAATTCTGCCTACACTCTGTATATCTCTTCCAACCTGGCTATATTCTGCCCTGCCATAGGCCAGAGCAACTTTATTCATTAACCAATAAAAATAACACGTACACAAAAGGACATCATTTTTTCTTCTGCATTACTGAGCTTTGATCTCAGAGTCCGTCACATGCTAAGCAGGCACTCCACTGCTGTGCCACATCCTTATCACCTTTTGTTTTCTTTTTTTTTTAAATATTTATTTATTTATTATGTATATAATATTCTGTCTGTGTGTACACCTGCAGGCCAGAAGAGGGCCCCATAGTCTCAGTTAGGTCCCAAGTCTGTTAGTTTTATATTTAGTTATTTGTTGTATGGGTTCTCAAGTAAGATGTAAAATACTTTGAGATAATGAAACTTTTTTCCTCAGATGGTAGGATCTCCCTGCAAACATCTAAACTCACAATGAAGCTCCAATAAATGCTTCTTCACATGCAAGGGAGGAGAGGAGAGGCCTTGGGTTCATGACAGAGACCAGTGTCGTATGTATGAGATCAGTGAGTGTGTGCAGCTCCCTAGACCATGTGCTCTTGTAGGCAGAGGGGAGTACAGGCGTCTGGTAAAGCTTGCCTCTCTGCAGTGCTTGCTCTTTACCTGAGCAAAGCAGTCTTCATGAACAAGAGCCCTCAACTTTTTCTGAACATCTGTATCAGTCATACGTGTTTCTAGGTGGGAGATCTGGTCTTTGACCCGTTTTTCAAAGGTCTGCTTTAGTGTTGACTTCTGTTTTCAGATCTGGAGTCTTGAAGGCATCATTAAGTTCCTTCCCTCCTTTGGCATTCTAGATTGTTTAGTTTTGTAGTTGTTGTTTTCTTTTAGACAGGGTCTCATTGTGTAATCCACGGTGCAAACTGACCCTCTAGCTCCGTCACACAAGCACATTGCCTCACCCTGCTGGTTTCTTTATGTTGAGGTTGTCCTGTTCGTAGTCTTAAAAGTCTGTGTGTGAAGGTGTAAGTCACAGACAATCCCACACCAGTTTGGAATTATGATTAATAGAATGGTTATTTATTCAAAGGGGAAAAAACTTACAGATTACCGTCCCAGACAACAGCCCCTCCGCGTGAACAGGAAAGGAGTCTAGGAGCCGGAAGTGGAGCCTGAAGCCAGAGAGGGAGAGGAGGACAACCGCTGCTTTTTTTAAAGAGAGAGAGACCACGCCCCAATGGGCTGGTAATTCAGCGGCGATTGGCTGAAGGAGCGGAAGGAGCTCCCACAGCATGTGTGAATCTCTATGAAGTTTTCATTGTGTTTGCTTTTATCAATATTAGAAAAAAAAAGGAAACTCTCTTTTTCTCTCTTCTACAACCGGCAGTAGTCTGATTCTCATCGTTGGGTTCTAGTCTCACTGGTGCAGCTGACTTCCAGCTGGCTCTCTGGACCTGTCTACTCCCGTGATTTTCCTTTCCATGGATGTTGACTGATGTTATGAGATCGTCTCATTTGCTTCTACTGCTTGCTTGACTCTTAGCATAGTTTGCTCCGTGACATATGTTACTACTGTATGTGACTTAAGCACAAGTGAGCATATGTAAAGGAGACATTGCCAGGATCATCTGAACGCCTGTGTTGTGTTAAAAGAGGTAATCTGATGATCTGATGCAGTACCCGGGCTGAGGGCTGTGTCTGGTTTCTCTTCCAGTGGGCATCCCCACCATCAGATGGTGCGGGGCTGAGGGGGACTACAATGTCATGGTGATGGAGCTCCTGGGGCCGAGCCTGGAAGACCTCTTCAACTTCTGCTCAAGGAAGTTTAGTCTGAAAACTGTCCTGTTGCTTGCTGACCAAATGGTAAGCACCCTTTTTCCTGAACTGTACAGGCAGTATAGGTACTTGGCATATGCTTGCTGGCTTGATAGAATAAATTAGTAGTTATGATGGGCATGGTGGTACATGATTTAATCCCAGTACTCAAGAGTCAGAGACAGGCAGATCTTGGTGAGTTCCAGGCCCTGTCTCAAAAAAAAAAAGTTATTTGGTTACCAGTTCTCCATTATTACACCCATTTGTGCATAGAAAGGGGAATTTATTTAACCATGGCCTCAAGATTAGAGACCAGTTTTTAGCTTTCCAAGTGTGTCCATGTTGAATGGACTTCCCAGTTCTCTCAGGGAGCCCACATTTGACTGGTAGCAACTTTTGGATGATTTCCATGAAAACTTGGTTATAGCTCATGCAGAGTCCAGCTGATGCAGACCATTGTCTAGTGGTGTGCAGTCTCTTCAACCTGCTCTCTTTTCTACTTCATGGGAACCAAGGAAAAGAGATGTCTGGGCCGGTGTGCGGCAGTGGGGGTAGAGAGCTGAAGATACCTTGAGAGATGACCACCCTATCTGAAATCATTGTGATCTCTAGAAAGCAGAGACTGTGTACTTTTCTAGCATATGAACCACTGTGGGGCTCATCTCACCTTTTTCTCCGTTTCTAGATAAGTCGTATTGAGTACATTCATTCGAAGAATTTTATTCATCGAGATGTGAAGCCAGATAACTTCCTCATGGGGCTGGGAAAGAAAGGCAACCTAGTCTACATCATTGACTTTGGTCTGGCCAAGAAGTACCGGGATGCCCGCACCCACCAGCATATCCCCTATCGAGAGAACAAGAACCTCACGGGGACGGCACGCTATGCCTCCATCAACACACATCTTGGCATTGGTGAGCCCTGACACGGGTGGAACCCTTGACTTAGTGTACTTTTGACATGCCCGTCCTTAGTTTAGGGAAAATCCAACTTATTTAGCAGCCTGGGGTTATGAGCCAGTTTGGTGATTAGAGAAGTCTGGAGTCTGTCAACCAACCTCTATAGCAGACAAGCAGATTTGCACAACCACTGGGAGTCTTGATGTTGCCAGGTGCAGTGGGGTAGGCAAAAGCTGGCTTCTCCAGCAGTTCTCCACACCTGAAGTGTTAGGAGGTTTCTTTAATATCATGTAAGGGACAGCTTCTGGTGACATAATTCTGCAAGTATATTTTTACGTTATTCTTGAAGTTTTATTTCCATTTTCTTGTTTACCAGGTGTTGCTTTTATGCACACACACAGATAGACGTGCCATCCTTGACGTAGTTCCCTTTTCTTTCCAGAACAATCTCGAAGGGATGACTTGGAGTCTCTGGGGTACGTGCTGATGTACTTCAACCTGGGCTCTCTCCCCTGGCAGGGGCTGAAGGCCGCCACCAAGAGGCAGAAGTATGAGAGGATCAGTGAGAAGAAGATGTCCACGCCCATTGAAGTGCTGTGCAAGGGCTATCCTTGTGAGTCCCCTCCCGTCCTTACTGCGCGCCCCCCCCCCCCCCCCCCCCCAGTGTTAACAGACTCTGTGTCGGGTGCTCTGGCTGTGCTGTCAGAGGAGGCGTGTGAAAGGGGGCGCTTTCTCATATGGGAAGCTGGCAGCTGGACCTGAGCTCTTTAGTCTAAAAGGTGTTCTTTGAGGCCCAGGAGAGACTAAAATGAGCTTTGAGAGGTGACCTCCACGGGAAGGAAAGGAGGACAGTAGTGGGAGACCTAACTGCTCCTTAAATCGACCACCTTTACCCCTGTTCCACCTTTCAGAGCCATTTCCCAGGGAGGTTTCCTGTTTGGTGACATTGCTCCTGAAATGAAAATGCCCTCAATAACAAATTTTGCTTTCTAGTGTTGACCTTTGGGATGTGTAGAGGGTGCTAGATACAGAACCCAAGGCCTCACACATGCTAGCTGTGTGAGCTTTCTACCACTGAACTATATACCTCCGGTTTCTAGATGTTGGTTTTTTTTCAAGCAGTCTCCCAAGGCCTGATTTCTTAAATAATGTGACTAGTTTTCAAATTTCATCTTTGATATCTTTGGTATATGGCACTATAGAAGGTGAACTGGGTGAATGAATATCAGTCTGGGCCACCGTTGGTAGTTCCTTGCTAGCTTTGAGTTTCTTGTTTTTTAGCTGAATTTGCCACATACCTGAATTTCTGCCGTTCCTTACGTTTTGATGACAAACCTGACTACTCCTACCTGAGACAGCTCTTCAGAAATCTGTTCCATCGCCAGGGCTTCTCCTACGACTATGTGTTCGACTGGAACATGCTCAAATTTGTAAGTGGCATCACTAGAGCATTGGGCCTTAGGAGGCTGGGTTGGGTTTCTTTATGTAAAGCTATGCTGTCTGCAAGGCACAGTGGTAAGGCATAGAACTTGGGGCTTAGAGACCACTTTGCTTGTGGGTTCAGAGTACTGAGTGGGGGGGATGCTGAGTGAAGCAAAAACCTCTTTAGCATTTGGTGCTGGAGAGATTGTACAGTGGTTTAGAGAGCACTTGCTGCTTTTTCTACAGTTTTTAGGACCATCTAGAACTCCAGTTCCCCTTTATGCCCTCTTCTGACTGCTGTCGGTACTGCATGCACACGGTTCATTTACTTACATGCAGACACTAAATAAAAACCTGGCGTTTATGAATATGTATAATAAACCCAGTAAGCTGTGGTCTAAGTCTGCACAGGGTCAGCTGCTTATGGATTGGTAAGTCTTCCTTAGTTGTAAGGCCTGTCTGCTGTCCTTCCTTCTTATTTCCCTCCCCTCCCTTCCTTTCTTTTTTCCTTAATTTTTAGGGAGTAAAGCTACTTCTGAGAGGATATGTTTTTTAAGGTAGGTGTGTGTGTGTGTGTGTGTACATGTGCACCTGGATATATGTACATACATCGTGTGTTCCTGGTGCTCAGAAGAGGTGGACACATCCCCTGAAATGAGTTAGAAGCTAATGTAAGCTTCTATGTGGGTACTTGGTGCCAAACCCAGGTCCTCCTCAAGAGCAGCAACTGCTCTTAATCACTGAACCATTGCTCCAACACTGAGGATTTTATTTTTAAAGTTTGTTGATGCCTAGGCCAGTCTTGAACTACAGTTAAGCTGTCCTCTTGCTTTGTTTGGCTTTCCGAGTGCTGTGTGTGCTGCTGCCCCATCACTGTAGAACATTATTTTATTATGGTTTCCATCACCAGTTCTATGAGCTTTGTGGTTTCAGCTGCCTATAGTGGCATGGCATGATAGTCTGGACTGCTAGGAAGCCTGGTGGTCTCCTTAAACCCTGCCTCTCCCTGTCATCCAGCCCTCCTCCTCTGTCTCCAATCCAGTGTGCATCTCACAGGCCTCAGAAGAGCCTCTGGGGTACAGTACCTGGTATTCAGTCTGAATTTGATTCAGACATTTGCTGCCACAATTCAAACCTTTGTGAAACTTTTATGTCTATTTTCATTGAGAGTAATTAATTCCAGAACTTAGGAGGCTGGTTATTAGCTTGAGGCCAATCTTGGACTACAAAGCAAGACCCTGTCTCAAACAATCAAGAATTTTTTTGTAATTTGAACTAGAAATTGGAACCTTTATAGGTAATGTATCTAGTGAAAGAAGTAGCAAGAACTGCTTCTTTAGGGTGTATACCAAGAACTTTGCCCATTGCCCTGTCCCAACTCATGGGGAGTGCTGTGAACTAGAACTACCTGCCTGGACCTAGCACTGTTTATATCTGTGTAGACCAGCCAGGGCCAGAAGGAGACTTGTCCTATGAGGTGAGCTGGCTCAGGAGAGGCCTGGTCCTGCTGGGGCGGGGGTTCATGACACCGGTAGTTTCATGAAGTTGCCTAAGCTTGCAGACTCCTGCTGACAGTGATTAAAATGACTTGGACTCTGATTTCTGATCCAGCAGAAACCTGACTCCCGTTCTCACTGTTGACCTGTGCATAGAAGGACTGGCGCTGGTATGGCACAGCATTGTCACGGTGTCTGGACTCTGCTTAGGCCCTCCCTTCTGACTCAGTGCTTGCTTAGGCCTCTACTTTGCTCTCCTTCCTGTCTCAGGCAGTCTCTTTTTCCTTCCCTAATATGCCAGCATACCAACATTGATAGGTAGGGATTAAGATGACAGGTTGTACTTGTGACTTCCAATATGGTGGGGTGTGAAAAGAGACTGACCTTTGGATATTCTGCAGGCATCATCTTTGGAGAAATGTTCTTTCTGATTTGCTATTGGTGTGGGTGGTTTCAAGGGGCAGAACCAGTCAAAAGCCTTGGGGGATTTTGCTTTTTTATTTATTTTTTAAACCGAGGCCACTTCCTCCCATTTATCCTGATCTTTCCACCGCAGGGTGCCAGCCGAGCTGCAGACGATGCTGAGCGGGAACGCCGGGACCGAGAGGAGCGATTAAGACACTCCCGGAATCCAGCCACCCGTGGCCTCCCTTCTACAGCTTCCGGCCGTCTGCGGGGAACCCAGGAAGTGGCTCCCCCAACGCCCCTTACCCCTACCTCACACACGGGTGAGCACACCTCTTAGCCATGCTCTACCAGGATGGGGCCTCTGCTTTATGTTTGATGACTTGGCTGGCCTCACAAGGATTTGGGGCCAGTCAGTTGAGGGTTGTGTCTCCATTTCAGTCAGTCCTCATTCTGAAGTGTAGATAAGACTGGGTCACAACCTATGATGTCACCTTAGAAATGGCACAGTGATGGTGACACACACCTTTAACCCCAGAACTTAGGAAGCAGAGGCAAGGTGACTGTCTGTGAATTTAAAGCCAGTTTAGTCTATATAGCGAGATCTTCTCTCAAAGAAAAGAAAGAAATCTCCCTCTCACAAGATTTGGTACCCTGTCTGCAACTCTAGTTCCAGGGGAGCGAGCATCATCTTCCCATCTCCTTGGGCACTGCAAGCACATGGTACACAGACATGGATAGGCAAAACACACACACACATATGAGTTTTTAAAAACTTTGCTGTGCTGGGTATAGCGGTACACACCTTTAATCCCAGACCTTGGGAGGCAGAGGCAGTCAGATCTCTGAGTTTGAGGCCAGTGTGGTCTACAAAGTGAGTTCCAGTACAGCCAGGACTGTTAACACAGAAAAACCCTGTCTCAAGAAATTTTTATTTTGCTTTCATAAGACAGATTGTCTCAGATCCTTAGCTACTCAAATCTGACATGTATTGCTAAGGTCTTTGAATTCATTCCCACTACCAGCAGGAATCTTGGGGTTGCTGAGCGTTTGAGTTGGTTGTATGTGTAGCCCTGAGCCAGTTAGTTGATAAGTTCAGGTTCTGCTTTGAAAACGTCAACCTAGAGCCTTAACTGGAGCCTTTACTTATTAGATTGTATGTGTGTGAATGTTTTGCCTGAGTGTGTGTATATGCACTGCATGTGTACCTAGTGCCTATGAAGGGAGAAGAAGGTGTCAGATCTCCTGGATGATTGTGAGCTGCCGCGTGGGTGCTGGAAACCAGCTGGGTCCTCTGTAAGAACAAGTGCTCTTGACCACTGAGCCATCTCTCCAGCTTCAACTAGTGAGATGTTAAGGAGCCAAGGGTACTCAGTAATTGTGGCTTCTCTTCCTCTCTTCCAGCCAACACCTCTCCTAGGCCTGTCTCTGGCATGGAACGAGAACGGAAAGTGAGCATGCGGCTGCACCGTGGGGCACCAGTCAACGTTTCCTCGTCTGATCTCACGGGCCGACAAGATACCTCTCGCATGTCCACCTCACAGGTATGCATGTAGAGCTCACTGTGGCCTGGTTGCGCCAGACCCCAGGGTGGGGGTGCGTGTCCTTGTCACTGTGTACAGGCACTGGCTCTCTCCCTTACCTTGCCTTAAAGACCGACTTTACAGTTCACAGTCAGGAGTGGGTGGCACTTGTGAAGAGTGTGCTTCCTTCCTTCTCCTGTCTTCCTCATTTTGGGGGGTGTTCAACCAGCTAGGCTTCTTGGTTGGAGCCTGTGACTGGCTGGATTTCTAAAGGGTTTATTTCCTGGTTAGGACTATAATGGGCTGTGAACTATGTGTAAAGCTTTTTCACTTCTGCTGCTGGATTTCGAAGGGACATCCCTATTCCTACCCCGCTGCCTTCCCCACCTGGGGAGGCGCCATATGCCTGCTTGCTCATACCTCTTGTTGGGGAGAGGTCTGTTGTAGGCACACCCAGCTGTTTTACAACTCCACTTGTGTTTGCTAGCAAGGATTTCCTTAGCAAGAAACCAGGAAAGGCGGTGGCTGCATAAAGAAGGGTCCCTGGGGGGAATCCTTGGAGGTGCCAGACTTTAAGGTGTCATCTTCTGTCGACCTGTCTGTCCCTAATAAGGGAGGTGCTCAGGGAAGGCAGTGTAGTTTGGACTAGTGTCCAGGCCCTTCCTCATAGCTACTTCCTCATCCGCATCCAGGTTCTCCTCTATGTGCTCTTGCTTCTGTTTTTGCATTCAAAACTGCTTTATTCAACAATAACTTCGGTCTACATTAGGCTTCTTTTTCTGAAGTAAGCTTTAGAGTTCCCTCTTACAGGGGGTAGGGCCAAGGTTGTGTTCGAGGAGGCTCTTACCAGCCAGTGCCACTCTTCCCCAAGAGCTCATTTTTAACCCCTCTCTGGCTTACAGCAGAGCCTAGTATGGTGTTTGAATGGGTAAGGACTAAATGTGTGTTGAGTCAGTACAAGACCCCTGGGGCTTCCTAGTCTGATGGAAATCAAGACTGTTGAGACATGTTCCTGTGTGAGATGACTGGTTTTGTTTGTGTGATAACTTTCTCCTGAAGAAACAACAGATGTGGGGAGTTTGACAAGTGTTAACTTAAGTTGTGGGCTTTGAGGTTTGACATCGTGAGTAGATTGAGTCCCTCGGTGTGTACACTCTGAGCTCAGCTCCCTCATGGAAGACTTGATGGTTTTGGGTTTTTAGGAGGGGGAGGAGGGGATGCATTTCTACATAAAACATTGTGTTGACGTTAGGAAGTGGCCCGTGCCTATTTCCTTTACAACCCGTGATGTGGTGGACCCTGGCTGGGTTTGGACATTTTCATGCCAGGAGCTGGGCAGGGAAGGCAAAGCGGTCTTTTTTTGTTTTGTGTTTGATTTAGTTCAATATAAAAACACAGCATCTGGTCGTTTGGGATCCAGGAGGGAAATGAAAGAGTCAGGAAATTCTGTGGCTACCAGGAAGACATGGGGTACAGCACAGCTTTTTCTTGCCAAAGCTGTGGCTGCATTGGCCTTAAGGTGACAGAGAATAGCATTTTTCTCCACATGGTGATTTGGGCCTTAGAGTCAGTCTCTGGTTGCTTGGTCTCTCATGTTTCTGCATGGAAAACTATTACAGGCTTAAACATGGTTCGGAGGCTCCCTTCCTAGAGTTCTTTAGTTTTTCCTTGGGCTACCTAGGAGGTTTCCTAGAGACTGCCTGTGTTCTGGTCGTCTGTCTCCACAGCTGCACCTTTGGAGGTGTTGTGCTCCTTAAGAGCCTCCCTTCATTGCATAATAAGTACCACCAGCATCAGTGCGCTTGCCCTTTGTATGATGTCCTTCCCTCTCCGTTCTTGCTAGGCCCTCAGCCAAGCATCTGCTCTGGAGGTTTGCAAATTAAAGACTAGTAGGATCCTCCAAGCTTGGCAGGCCAATAGTAACTTCTCCCTAGAGAGTTGGGGTTCAGGTAGCATAGTGAGCTGGAGAACACCGTGCATAGGCACCAGCCCTTGAGCAAGAGCACATAGGCTTTAGCTGAGCTTCCTTTGTCTACAGCTGCTGGTTTTCTCAGAACTGGTGCATCCTGTGAGGTATAATGTGATACCCACAAGTCCTTCCACCCAGTTAAAGCCCATCTTAGAGGCATCCGCTGCCCTTGTTTACCTCTTCTGATGATAAGGCCTGGTGCAGGTCGCTGAGGCGGCCTGTTTTCTGCAGGACCTCAGCTTCACTCAGGCTTCTTCCTCAGCATCTTCCCTTCCCTGAGAGCACTTGAATTAGGCGTGTCTTCTGGGGAGACCACATTTCTTAGTATCTGTGCATTCGCTCTCATTAGCCAAAATAACATAGGCTTTGCAGGGCATCTGATCTTTGGATCTCTATTTGTTTTTCCTTTGTTGAAAAGAAAGGTTTCCGGCCAGCACAGTTCAAAACATGTTACTGCTTTTGATACCTCACTTAATCCATGCCTGCATTAAAATAAGATCATTCTGGTGCTCTCATTAGTAGAGAGTTTGTCTCGTGGGTGTATCCTGGGAGGTGCTATCCCTTCCACCTACTGAATAGAGCTATAGAACCGGTTTGTAGAGCTTCCTCTGTCCCGCCGTCCGCTAGAGCATGTTTCTCCAGAGCATGAAAGTAGAAGGGTTCTGCTGGAACAGCAGTGGCCACTTTTATCAAGGGTCGTGAGAGACTGATGAGTTTGTGCCCTATGAGAAGAGACTTGCCATTAGCTGGAGTCCGGAAAGTGTCTCTTGATGTCTTGACCTGGTGAAAGCAAGGGGCACATCAAGACTCAGGCTCAACACAGGCAGCCAGGGGACCAGGATCTCATGTACTGGTCTGGCCAGCATGACACTTACCAACAGCTGTCTTTTCCCCACCTCAGAATAGCATTCCTTTCGAACACCACGGCAAGTAGCTGCTCGTCTCCATCGGAAGGCAGCACTGGGTGAGTGTGCTCATGGTGGGCTCTGCAGGTAGCAGGTGCCAGGCAAGGTGGGAGCCACTCCCCACCCGTCGTCTGGGCTCGCTGGTGGGCTGGGCTTGCATGCCACGTGCTGGAGGTAGAGTGAGACTTCTTCTGCTTGGTTTTCTTCACGTGTGGGCTATGGAGTAGCTGTGGTGAGCTGCCCAGTCTGGGGGGTTAGTGGCATTCTTAGCATCTCTGGACCAAGTGACCTTAGGGAACCATCCTGCTGTGCCTTTGTCCTCTGCCTCCCTGTGATTGCATTTGGTATGCTGGAACTGCCCTCAGGCCTGGCTGGCTCTGGGCAGATGTGCTGGCACATGTGTCTGTTGTATTCGGCTGAGTGGTGCCACGCTTGGTGTTGGGCTTTCTTGAGCTCTTGCTACATGCAGACTCTCAGTGGTCTGCTGTGCCCATCCTGGCTTTTTTAGTCATTCCTCTTCCTCTCTCTCATTTATCTCTGTCCTCATTTTATGTTTCTTTCCAAACTTGGTACCTGCCCGGCCATCTTGTCCATGCAGCTGTTGTCTGTATTAATCCAGCCACAACCACCTGCTACCCTGCCGTCAGTGCATGGCTGGGTGTCCACGCTGAGCTCCTTTCTTGTTGGCCACATGGCTCTTGGTGGTTCCTTCCATCAGAGGCTTGAGCTTTGGTGGGGTTGTGCTGCTGGGAGATCTGCTCTGTTTAACCACATATGTGCATTCTTGGAAATGTGTTGATAAGAATTGCTTTCCTATCTTCCCTAAGGGATATGCCTGTTTCAGAGCTCCGAGTTCTTTCCAGGAAGGGAGGCTAGGAGCAAGTGTCACTGCTCCACTGGAATCTACAGGAGCACAGCTCTGCAGTCTCCTTGCTTGCATGCCTCCTCTTCCCCATCTTCCTGTCCTGTGTTCTGCTCAACACCTGCCCTGGCTACAGAGGCCTTTCTGTGCAGCCAGAGGTGAAGGTGTTTAGATTGAAGTCAGATGGCAGTATGTCCCTTCCCTCCCAGGCTCTACTGTGTTATGTGCGCCCAAATGCCTGGCTGGCCTGTTGTTCCTCTGGCCTCATGCTGACCTTGTCCTGTGCTTTGGCTCCGACAGATTCCCGGTCGGGTGGCTTCCAGTGGTCTTCAGTCTGTCGTGCACCGATGAGAACTCTCCTTTTTGCTGTGAAGGGCAGACAATGCATGGCTGATCTACTCTGTTACCAATGGCTTTACTAGTGACACGCCCCCCGGTCTAAACCCGAAATGTTAACGCCGGGAGCTCTCCAGGCCACTCACCCAGCGACGCTCATGGGGAATCAAACACAAACTAAATGGACAGGTTCCAAGAGCTGCCATCGCCAGGGGCTGCCACCGCCAGGGGCTGCCACCACGGCCCCATGGGAGCTCAGTTATCATGGGGCTGGAATGAAGAGCAGAGGCTGGGAGACCATTGCAGAGAGAACCCGACTCCCTGTGAAGAGCCTCTCCGCTCCCACCAGTGGTGGAGGACCTGCACTCCCTGACGATCCCACCACAGCTACCAGTCTTCTACTTGGTTAAGACAGTTTTGTATCATTTTGCTAAAAATTACTGGCTTAAATCTGTGTAAAGAAATCTGTCTTTTTATTGTTTCTTTCTTGTCTGTTTTTGCGGTCTTAAACAACAACAACAAAAAAGATGTTGACCTTAAAGAATCCTAAGACATGCTGGCTTGGAGCTTCTGTGTAAAATGGAGGCAGGCAAGAGAGGGGCACATGTGAGTGTCAAGGATGTGTGTTTTGTTTGTTTTGTTTTCTCGTGTTGTGCTGTTCACTTTAGGAAGGAAATACTCATCAGTTGTGTGTGTGTGTGTGTGTCTTGTGGACTCCCATCAGCTTCGTTTGGGCATCTTGCTTACCCTTCCCCACTGTAAGCTGATCCGCCTGCAGTCATCAGAACAGGGAGAGTGCAGCAGCCGTGGAGCGAGGGTGCAGAGGCGTACGCTCAGCAGAGCACTGTGGCATGACAGTCTTCCCAAAGGAAGCGAGAAGGAAGTCAAAACTGAAGAACTCGCGTGGAGAGACCTTGAGATCCATATAGGCTGCTGGAGAGTTCCAAGATTCAAAGCTGAGCTTGTGTTTCTGGTTTCTGGGGAGAGGATTGCTGTTTTGGTAGTGCTGGTTGCCTCTATGCCTCTGAACTTGGGAAGCTGCTGAACAGACCGAGTACTCTCCTGCAGATGCCACCTAGGTCTGTCGTCACCTCTCTGCTCAGAGCCCAGGATTTGCCCAGAAGGACCAGTGGCCAAAGGGAATCAACCCCGAAGTGCCAACCTGAATCTAGACCCTTCACCTCCAGAAAGGTGTGGTGCCACGCACACGCTTCGTGATCTTGGGCTGGGCTGCTCTGCCGCTGGCGGTCAGGATGCCAACATGTTCGTCCCCACCATGTGCACCGAATATGAAGAGACAGCAGGCCCTGAGCTCCCCATCTGAGGAATGGGATGCAGTACATGTGTCTGGGTGTCAGCCTGTGGAGAGTGTTGTGCTGGCTACCTGGTTCCCTGTTTAGGTTTGGGCTCTAGCGGTGCCACCGTGGCTTCTTCCCAGAGTTCCCTGGTACTGAGCACTGGTCTGAGATGAGGGAACACAACTGCTGGTGTGCGATAGCCTCCCAGAATGCGGCTGTTAGTTGTGCCAGCCAGCCATCTGAGCCTGTGGGTGCTTCCTTGTGAGTCCTGAGCTGGTTACTCTGCGAGCATTTTAGGGTGCAGGGACTTGACTGGGTGGGAGACTGTGTCTGGGAGTGCAGGGGGAGGTTGGGGGGGTTGGGCAAGTTTGAGATTTTTGTTGCAAATCCTTTACTAGAGTTGGGCCTCCTCTCTCCAGTGGCAGGTCTGCCTGGCAAGTGTTCTTTGTAGATACCTGTGGTGTCGAAGGGGTATCGGGGTGGCCTTGAGACTGATCCAGGTTCAGCCAAGCCCTGTTGGGTTGTGCTGAGATTAGGCCTATTGAAAGTCCTCCAGGGGGTGGCTCTGACGGTTCTTGCCTAATATTTAATCCCATCATCACTCGCAGGAAGCGTAGTTAGAATGTGTGTATCAACCTGTGTCTTGGTGACCAGTCTCTGAGCTGTGCGTTTGTACTACCACTGTATTTGTGTACTTTAACAATTGTGTAAATAATAAATTCATAATGACTTCTACCTTTCTTCCCTTCCCTTTGTGTGCTTTTTCTTTGAGCAACTGAGAGTTTTCAGAATGTGTAAGTTAACTTGGTGTGGGTGGCAGCTGAGATTAAGGCGGTCTCTTTCTGTAATCCAGGCTGTCCTGGAACAGTCCTGCCTCAACCTTCTATTGGTGTTGAAGACCCAGGAAAGCTAGCTCGTCCAGAGTGATGTCCTTGTCCTTTCTCAGCCTGTGGGGATTGGAAAGCAAGTTGGAGTAGGTGTCAAAAAGATGGCTCCCACTTGGACTCCGGTGTGCACGGGTGGATATTCTTAACGAGTTTATTTAGGGATACTGTGACAGTTCTGTGAGCCCTTCTCCACTCACTTACCCTACATAGCCCTCTGAGTTGGTGCCCCTTTTGAGGGGCAGGGAAAGGCTACTGTAACTAGGTCTGTTCCTGCTGTGTAGACCTATCCTCTTGGGAATTCTTATCTGTGTCCTACTTAGAGGCTCAGTTTTAACAGTCAAGTGCTACCTGGTTTTGTGGCCAAAACCCACTTGGTATTTCTCTGTATGTGACAGGTGTGGACATGCAGCCTTTCTGTACGAACCTTAAGCATCCCAAATTGGCTTCTGGCCTGCTTGGTGGATTCTAGAAGGACTGTTCGATTCTGTTCCATATTAGCTAGGACAGTAGTTCTCAACCTGTGGGTCACGACCCCACTGCCAGCCCTCTCTCTCCAAAAGTACATAACAGTGGCAAAATTAGTTATGAAGTAGCTGGGACATAGGAGCTATATTAAAGGGTTGTGGCATTAAGAGCCACTGAAATGGGAGATTAAGTATTAGAGCTGGCTCCACCCAGTGCTCCCTCCTGTTGCAGCCTGGCATGGGTCCCCATGAACAATTCACTGTTAGATACTTCTAACCTCTCCTGGAAAGGTCTTGTGCTAGAAGTGAAGTCTGGCTAGACTGCACATTCAGGAGGCCATTGTCTGCACTGGAAATTGGGGTCCCACAAACATCTCCATCTGAGCAGCTGCATTTCAGAAACCCAACCTAGATTCATCAGATGGCGCAGGGTCAGTCGCCACTGGCCACAAGGCTCCTACTCTCATTCACACCCTTACCTCTATTCTCTGTCAGGAGTAGGGTATGGGATTGAGGAGACAGACCCAGTTAGGTTGGCAGCAATGGCCCATGAGCCTAGCTCCTTTGCCACAGGCTCTGAGTTGGGGATGATGAGATATCCGTTTCCCTTACTGCAAGCCCAGTTATCCAATTAGGTGGATCTGCATGGACAGGCATTCTATTGTCATCTCAGGCTTGGGTCTTCACAGGATACTAAATACAACCTTGCCTTGGCACTCCATTCAGCCCCTGCAGGGCAGTCCAGTTCAGTGTGCCCCTTGGTGTCTCCAGCTGCATTCACAGGCCCTCCCCTCCTTACGCCTTGTCGGCTTCACACATCACCTGCTTGGGCTGGTCACTACTCTAGGTGCCCCAACAGCAATACTTTGAGGACTGTTTCCTTCTGGCCAATTGGAAAATATCTCAGTGCAGAAATGCAGACAGATAAAACTACCTGCTCATTACAGGGCCCAGAAGCTGCCACCCTAGGGTGCAAGTGAGGTCCCAGCAGCACAGGCAGGCTTGGGAGGGACCTCAGGGCTGGTCACCCTACATCCTCCTTATGAAGATGATCACTGGGGATCTCTTCACTATGAAGTGTCTTCCTAACAATGATTCATTGTGCCCTTCCCTGACTGCTTCTTGTTCTCATGCCCTGGGTGCAGGTATGGGATGAACAAATGAGAGGGGCAGCATGACCTGCTCTCACCCACGGTGATACAGCTTAGTGAGGGTAAGGGCTGGTTTAGGGTCTGATCAGTGCAGATAGTTCTAGAAACAAGCCTTCCTGTGCCCAGCCCCAAGAGCCACTCTCAACCAGTGATTCCATCAGTAAAATTGCTGAGGTTCGGCCTAGGAGTAGAAGCAGCCTAGAGGCCGACTCAGAATTCGCAGAGCAAGCTATATTCCCTGAGGCCCAGTGCAGTGCCTCTGCCCCAGCATGTACCCAGCACTCCCCCACCACTTTCTCTTTCCCTCCAGTTTCTAGGGGCAGCTAGTGGCCACAATCAGAGCTTGGCCTGTTTTGAAGCCTGAGGTCCTTGCCATTCCCTCTTGCTCTGGTGGTTGGCAAATCAGACTCCAGGATGCATGTAACCACAGCTGCCACCAGCACTGCCCATCAGCTGACCTCCTAGAGGGAACAGAAACGCCCAATGGGAGAGGCACTCCAGAGTCTTGAGACTGGCTCAGAACTGCAAGCCCTTGACCTCCACGTGGGTCTTAGCAGGACCAGACCCACCAGGGGGTATGGGAGGCTGGGCCCAGATATGAGCACTCGCCTCCTTTTCCTTGCAGAGGAGCAGGGACGTGGCATCTCTCCGGCTGCATGCGGCCCGCCAAGGTGCCCGCTGCCGTCCCCAGCGCCCACGACGAACCACCTACTGAGGCGGCCCCAGCGGCCTCTGACCGGGCTTCCAGCCACGCAGGCCGCCACTGGCCACAGGGCAGGTGGGTGCGAGGTGCCAAGGGCGAACCTGAGTGCTGAGCATGGGCTGGACAGAGGAGGACGGGTAACAGATGAGCAGGCGCTGACCACAGAGAGATTTACCAGCCCTCCAGAGGGGCGAATAAACAGAAAGGCAGGAAACTCATGCTGGAAGCCCACACACAGTGAACGTAGCTTATGCCACATCTCAGCTCAGTCTCCTCAGCCCTGGGGGTTCCCCATGGCCTCCAAGTGCCACCCAGGGACCCTCTAGCATGGGACTCTCCCTCCCTCGGTGTTCCCCTCGCCCCTTTTCTTCCTGCCATACGAATGCTGTGGCTACTAAACAAACCCCAGAGGCAGCAGAGAAGGTGACAGCAGGCAGAACTGGGAGAGCTAATGAAGATGTCAGAACCACTTCTTAAGAATCAGCAATTTGTTATTTAACAAAGGTGGGACTTAGGGTGAACAGACCACTGCCCAGAAACAGACAGCTCCTGCAGACAGGCCCTCTGGTGCTCCTCCTACACACAGAACTATTTCCACCGTGTCAGATAGAAGGAGCTCTTTGTCCCCTAGACAACAGAGGGCTGGAGATGGGGGATGGGATGGTAGGATCAGGGAGGACCCTGCCGGCAGCACCCACCTGCCAGCACCCACCTGTCCCAGCCCTGCCATCTGATTAAAGTCGTGTTGTCTCCTAAGTGTGGGTTTCTAGGTCCTTGGCCACAGTGGGGGGCGGGGGAGGCACAGGCTGCTTGGGCTCAGCAGGCTGGGTCCCTCGGCCCTGGTGTAGGCGGCTGGTAACCGTGGGACTCCCTTGGCTTCACCGCAGATCCACTTTGGAATGACACGGTTCCCACCCCGCCACCTCTCCCCGCAAAACACTGACCCGCTGACCAGGCAGCCAGAGCTGAGCCGATGGCCCCGCCTCAGCTGGTCCTGTTTGTGAAATAAATATGAGCGTTGCCAGTCTCTGGACCTCTTCCCTGCTCCCTGCCCGCCTGGCCAGGCCACTCACACGCTGGTTTCTGGGGTGTGAACCACCTCCCCGTTTTTCTCAGGCTGTTCCTTCAGGAAGTGCTCCACCTCCCTCGAGTCCACCCCCACGTCCACAGGGGGCTTATGGAGCGCGTCCTCTGTGGCCGCCACCTCAGGCTGTGCCACCTCAGGCCTCTTCCTGATGCAGAAGAAGTTGCCCAGCAGCAGCACAAGGGAGGAGGTGAGCACCTCAGCCCCCGCCAGGATGAACACATACTTGTAAACCTTGGTTGCATCCAGCAGCTTGCCTGCAAAGAAGACTCAGGTCACCAGAAGCTCCTGGGAGTACCCTGCTTCCACCCCGGGGCCAGGGCTCCCTCTCCTGGCATCTGCTCAGCCCTCTGTAGCCTCCTCTTCCTTTTCCTCCTCCCCATGAGAGCAAGGGCTGAATGAAAAAGGATAGATAGAAGCGGCCTTGAGGTCTATACCCCCTTCCCAGTCACAGACCCCTTAGGAAGAAACATGCCTTAGCTGCCTAGTAACTGAGGGCCCCAAGACCATTCTTGGAGAAAGAAGGAGCCAGAGGCTATAAGGGGATCAGAAAGGGCTGTGGTGAAGTAAGAGACCCAGGACCAGGATGGCTAGGCGGTCCTCACCAGCCAAAACCATTCTCAATTTCAATGGAGTGCTTTTCGGCTGGACTTCAAAAAGTAAAAGGACCAAAGTAACAAATCTTGCCCCATTCCCTTGAAAGCTGCCCCTGTGGTGTGCAGACTCCTAAAGAACCTGCCAGACCCTATCGGTAGGGCTGTCAAGTTCATGCCTGTCTTGGCTCAGAGCCAGCAGCTCACTGCTGACCTCTGCTGGCCCCGGATCCCATCCATTTCCAGTCTCCTAAAGCAGGGAGGCCAGCCCTTGCTGGCTCTGTCCCGGTGCCCCCCCCCCCAGCAACACTCACCTCCTGATGGGGGTCCGATGAGCACAGCCACAGCCTCTAACAGCAACACGAGACCAATGGCACTGGAGAACTTGTGGGTGCCTACAATGGCCATGAGCACCTCAAACTGTAGAGCCCCCACCATGCCATATGAAATGCCAAAGAAGATGCAGAAGACCACCAGGCCACCATAGTCGCTGGCCGTGGAGCCTGTGAGGTCTGTGAAGCCGTTGAAAAACATGGCAAAGCTGAAGAGGTAGACAGAGTAGGGCCGCACCTTCTTGAGGCCCGTGATGAAACCAGCCGTGGGCCTGGCGAAGATGTCGATGAAGCCCAGGATGGTGAGGAGGAAGGCGGCCTTTGTGTCGGGCACACCCAGATCCTTGGCGTAGCTCACCACGAACACCGGAGGCACAAAGAGCCCCAGCACCATGATGGAGGCGGCCACCGCATAGATGAGGAAGCCACGGTCTCGGAAGACACTCAAGTCCAGAAGGCGCCTGGATGGCCGCTGGGGTGCTTGGGACTCAGACCCCCCACTCGGCTGGGGCGCCACCAGC